GAATCCTGTGCCATCGACCGGATTCAACGTTTCATAAGAAGGCTGTACAAGCGCTGCTGCGCTTCCTGCGTTCAAGCGGCGTCTTTGAACGATTTTGATCTAAACATCTTGCGCCTGTGTCCATGTGGGTGTATGTGTCTTTTTTTCGCTTTTTATTTCACCCTGACTTCTGTACAACCCCTGTTTCCTCACTCCTATGCAGGGTAGTAAACCAGTTATATTTATCAGGTTAACCTCCCAGCATTTTCATTTCATCTCTCTCTCTCTTTCGCCAGTTTAACTCCGCTGTGCGGTGAAGATGACAGGCGAGTTAGCGTTAACTAACTTTTGTATTTCGGCCGTAGCGTTTTCTTTTGATGTCAATGGAGGAGGAACAATACGTACTGCTAACCATAGACGGCATCGATAAGTCTTCACGAAACAAAGCAATTATAGGGCCACTCTCTTACTTCCTCACTTTACCACAAAAGCATTTTGTGCCGTAGGCCTTTGGCTCACTGTTTTTCCCGCGTCTTGTTTCCTTTAGTTCAACTAACAGGATGATACTTTCATGCTCTATTCAACGCTTTCCGAACAGCAATTGCACAATACTATTATATGAATATCAAGATGCAATATAACTACCAAGTAACATCTTGCATTTTATTTTTCTTTGGTGGTCATATTGTTGCGAATGTATTTACTACTTTAGAGTATAAAAGTACTCCAGCAGTCAAGATGGCAGCCGTTGTGTATATTCGAACAGCCCAAAAACGTCGTCGTCTTCTTCTTCGCACCGCCCGCATAGCTGCATAGCCGCGAACCCGCAACATCGACCTCCGGCGGCGAAAAGCGCCGACCCGGCGCTTGTTAGCAGGTGTTGGACGAGATGTACGGCTTGAGGCGAGCGACGTGGACGATGTCGGAAGATGTGGAAGGTATCGAAGGGTTTAGAGGTGCTATTTCATAGGTAACATCAGTTACCTGCCGTAGCACACGATAAGGTCCGGAATACTTGGGTAGAAGCTTTTCAGCCAGACCAACATGTCGCGACGGAGTCCACAGAAGAACGAGGTCACCTGGACTAAAGTGGACGTCCCGATGGTGGCTGTCATAGCTACGTTTCTGACGGAGCTGCGAGTCCGAAAGGCGCTGGTGGGCAATCTGACGGGCTTTCTCCGCGGTGCTAATAGCGCGGCGAGCATATGCTGTGGACAGGTCGGCAGGGTTGGGTACAAGCGTGTCGAACGGCAATGTCGGGTCTCTTCCATACAAAAGGTAAAAGGGAGAATATCCAGCAGTGTCGTGGCGTGAGCTATTGTAAGCGAAAGTGACAAAGGGTAGCGCAATGTCCCAGTCACGATGATCCGTCGACACGTACATGGCGAGCATGTCAGTGAGCGTGCGATTCAGACGTTCTGTGAGGCCGTTCGTTTGTGAGGACGTTCGAAAAGGCCGTGCCTTGATCAGGACCCCACTCAAATGGTACATCTTTCTTCAAAAGATCAGTGAGGGGGCGTGCGACCTCTGCGAAGTTTCTGACAAATCGTCGGAAATATGAGCATAGGCCCACAAAACTTCGAACGTCCTTGACACAAGTCGGTACAGGAAAATCCAGGACAGCTCGGACTTTGTCGGGATCGGGGCGGATGCCGGAGGAGTCAACGAGATGCCCTAGAATAGTAACTTGGCGATGCCCAAAATGGCATTTCGAAGAATTAAGTTGGAGCCCAGCCTCTCGAAATACTGAAAGAATTGAGGAAAGGCGCTCGAGGTGAGACTTAAAGGTTGGGGCAAACACAATCACGTCGTCCAGATAACACAGGCAGATAGACCATTTAAAGCTGCGCAAAAGCGTGTCCATCATCCGCTCGAACGTTGCCGGCGCATTGCACAAGCCAAACGGCATTACCTTGAATTGGTAGAGACCGTCAGGCGTTACAAAGGCGGTCTTCTCCCGGTCGAGGTCGTCCACGGCGATCTGCCAGTAACCGGAGCGTAAGTCTATCGAAGAAAAATAGGTTGCGCCATGAAGGCAGTCCAGGGCATCATCAATACGAGGAAGCGGGTAGACATCCCTTTTGGTGACCTTGTTTAAATGCCGATAGTCCACGCAGAAACGCCAGGTATTGTCCTTCTTTTTAACTAAGACTACAGGGGACGCCCACGGACTCGATGAGGGCTCTATGATGCCTTTTGTGAGCATCTTATTCACCTCCTGTTGGATAACTTGGCGCTCTGATGGTGACACTCGATAGGGACGCCTGTGAATTGGAGCTGCATCACCGGTATTAATGCGATGTTTGACTTGCGATGTTTGACCTATGGGCCTACCGTCAAAGTCAAATATGTCCGAATAGCTCGTGAGAAGATCAGTGAGGTCTTTGACCTGAGACGGCAACAGGTCTGAGGCAATCATCTTAGTTACATTGTTGAGCCGTGTAGATTTGGCTGCGTCGGTGCTATGCGGGTTCGGCGAGGCGACTGTGGCCAGTTCACGTGACACTGATGAGATCTGGCACTCGTGTGACGGTGAAAGAGTGGCGAGAACAATGCCTTGTGGTAGGATTTGAGGGCTGAGTCCGAAGTTCAGAAGAGGAAGGCACGTCTTGTTCGCTGTGACAGTTAATATGGTGTACGGGGAGGAAACGTTGCGGGCCAGTAAAACACCGGGAGAGGGAAAGACCACGTAATCCCCATCCGGAACACTGGGATATGGTTCAACTGTGACACAAGTTAGGGCTTGGGGTGGGAGGCGAACAAACTCAGCGCACGAAAGCTTGTTCTGTACCATCTTCGACTCTTCGGTGGCCGCAGGCAAGTCAAGTTGCACGACGCCGGCTGAGCAGTCAATTACAGCGGAGTGGTCGGACAAAAAATCGAGTCCAAGGATGACGTCATGTGGACAGTGAGCGAGAACATGGAATAGAACGGACGTCTGGCGGTCGGCGAATCTCACACGCGCGGTGCACATTCCGAGCACAGCCGGGGTCGCTCCACTAGCGACACGTACAAATAGGGACTCTGGCGGCGTAAGGACCTTGTTTAATCGTGCACGGAGGTCAGAGCTCAGAATTGAAATATGTGCGCCGGTGTCAATAAGGCAGTAACAGGAAGGCCATCCACTTCTACATCAAGCAGGTTCTTGTCCGTAGTCAAGGTCAGCAGAGGGTTTTCAGGTCGGGAGTCCAATGCAGCGTCACCTCCGGGAGCTGCATTGCTCAGTTTTCCGAAGAAGGGCGTCCACTAGGGTGGGGCGACGAATAGCGGCGGTGCTGAGGTGACCTGGAGCGACGGTCATGCGGGGACGGCGAACGGCTGGACCGGCGGACTGGTGTCGCAGGAGTGCCATTGTACGGTCCATCGTCACGAGCGCCGTACTGCAGGGGCCGGTGGTTGTCGTCACGTCGATAGCCAGGAAACGACCGAGGCGGATACGTGCGGAAACGACAGTAGCGGGAGATGTGTCCCACACCATGACAATGAAAACATATAGGCTTGTCGTCCTGTGTCCTCCACTGAGCAGGATCACGATAGCGGCGGAATCTTTCTGGTGCAGGAGAAGGCGCTATGGTACTGACCCGAGGTTCCGTCAACGAACATACAGGCTGCAGCCCAACGTTTGCCAGCTCCTCTCTCACGACCTGTTGGATCAACGAGATCGTTGGTCGATCATCAGATGGGCGGGTCAGAAAAGACGGAGACGCGGCCTCGATTTCTCTACGAACGATGCGAACCACACTCTCGTTGTTATGTGGTTGACTGCATGGCGGCTGAAGGTCCTCGCAAGATGACGTAGCGGCCGTGTTCGGAAGTCGCAAGAAATTCTTGGCGACCCGGCGACTCTTCAGCTCTTCGAATCGGCGGCACTCTTTGATGATGTCATCAATGGTGGAACAGTCTTTGGAAACCAGTATGTTGAAAGCATCATCTGCAATGCCTTTAAGTAAATGGCTTACTTTGTCTTCCTCGGACATGTTGGGGTCGGCACGATGGCAAAGGGCGAGAACGTCAAGGATGTAGGTGACATATGATTCGGTCGTAGTTTGTGCCCGACCAGAGAGTTCTTTAGAAGCGGCCCGCTGGCGTCCGACGGCCTTACCAAACAGGTCACGAAGCTTCTGTTTGCAAGTATCCCAGCTGGTTATGTCCGCTTCATGAGCCTCGAACAACGCGCCAGCTGTTCCGCAGAGATAGAAGCCAACGTTGGCGAGCATCATCGTAGGGTCCCACCGGTACACTGCTGCAAACCGCTCGAACTTCGGAATCCAGTCGTCAACGTCAACATGGTCGGTGCCGCAGAAGTTGCCAGGGTCGCGCGGTTGCGTCAATACGACCGGCTGTACAGGCTGCGTCGGAGTCGCGGCTGAAACAGGAGCGGCAGAATTGGTTTCTGTTGCCATGGTCGGGCAGTCGAGAACACGTCCGCTTCGAAGTTCCGTCTTGCGTCGTACCCAGCGCCACCACCAAAATGTTGCGAATGTATTTACTACTTTAGAGTAGAAAAGTACTCCAGCAGTCAAGATGGCAGCCGTTGTGTATATTCGAACAGCCCAAAAACGTCGTCGTCTTCTTCTTCGCACCGCCCGCATAGCTGCATAGCCGCGAACCCGCAACAATATCTTCACGTTCCTTGAAGGCACTGCAGGTAGTACAATCACTTTTATTGTAATTTTGACGCAAAAATAAGTAAAAGAGTAATTATTTAGGTGTAAGTCCAGTTTATTGCAGATGGGGCCCCTCTCACATAACATCTGTTAGATGAAGCCTGTTTTTATATCATTCATCATGTCACAGGATAGTGCGCGTGTTTTTCAAACTTGAAACAGTACCCTATAAATGTTTTACTGACAACCGAGTTCACGCATCGCCCTGCCCGTCTTCATGCGCTGTATCTCTAGTACTTAATCGAAGTATGTAACCATGGTTAGCTATTAATTATACATTAACGCACTTTTACGTGTCTTAATGTAGAGCATCCCGATACAAAGAACTAACACAGAAAACGTTTGATTTCTCACATTTCTTTCCTTGCGGAAAATAGGAGGTAGCCCAATCCGATGAGCACGCAGATCAGCATGGTTGGCGCGTTGTAGAGCATCCACGTAGCGAAGGTCAACTCGGTAGACTCGGGGAACATGCTGTAATTAAACAACAAGAGCCCATGTCGGGCCGACTTAGCCAGTTGAATGGCTGGTTTGAAGCAAATACTTCCACGGACATTCCGACATGTACAGTGCCAATATTTATGAAAGGGAACACGGCGACGCGGGGCCTGCGCGCTCCGGCCGCTGCTGGCAGCGCGTTCACGCGGGAGGGATAGCAACCATAGTCTCATTTCGCGTCATCTCGCGGCGAGCAAAACAACCATTCGTTGCTGATATAGAATGGCAAGATTGAAACCCATCCCCCTTCAAGGCGATTACCGGCGATTATCTGCTCCGGGACATTTTCATTCGTAAGTTTAAATCCACGCTTCTATTTGTGATTTGGATACATTTACATAAATGATACCAATAATAGATTTTCCGCATTTGAGCTTTGATGTAACTTTAATATTTTAGTGAAATGGGCAAAGACATCTTGTGAGAGCTAAATTTATGACGTGACACTGCAGTGCACCACTTTTCTTTTTTGCACAGCTTGAATACACTAAAGCTATTACGTTCATTGCTCTATGTCAAGTCAGGTCGTTAGCCATAGATGCGTGTTGTCTCCGTCGAATATTTGAGTGTTAGTACAAAGCTTATTTACACACCTATTCTTTATTATGTTCACATATACTGACTCCTATTTTCGTTGGAGCTGGTAGTAAGTGTCAACATTGCTTGTGCCTAGCTTATTAGATATACCTGTTTGTGTCACTGACAGTTGGCTACATGAGAAGAATAATTACCAATGGAGAACTTGCCTATCTGGAGAAGTAGCTCAAATCACTGGTCATGACTGTGGAAAGCAAATTAATTTGATAGGCGTTACACTCTTACGGTAGTGTCACCTCATGAGGCGTCACCTAATGTGTCACGTGATAATGAGGTGTCACCTCATTTTCACCAAGTTTCATCTTAAGTAAAAATAGGTTCGTTAAATTCAAAAATTTGTTTTAAAGGTAGTATTCCTAACTATATCTATTGTAACACTATGTTTGCTTACTTTGTTATAACGAACACTTCATTATATTCGGGTTCTTTATATCGAGGTTTGAGTGTACTGAGTTGAAAAATGACTGCGAAACAGAAAAACGAAGACGATAGACCTCGAAATGACAAGCACTTATTGTATAACTCAAAGTTCTGTTGAAATTGCCCTCGCCGAGCTGACACTATTGAGTTATTGGTACTTGGCCCACTTTCTAAATTGATATGTTTTGTCAACCACCACTTACTCATCTATAAGACCCTTTGAGTACGAGATTTGGTCCTGTACCAACGAGAGATCCAGTTCCTCCGATGTTAGCAGCATACGCCACGGAGAGCAGCATGACTGTGCGGAGTTTTTTGTGCCTCGAATCCTCCCTGAAAAGGTTATTAATTGCAGTCATAATCAGTGCAATTGGGAGCTTTGGCAAAAACAGCAAGTGAAAGCGGCAACTTATTCACTCGAGAGACTCTCCGGCCGGATGACCACTTCTGTATTTCGGTATGTGTGTGTAATACTCGCATATTAGTATTAAGTATGCTAGTAGTATCTTACGAATGTCACACAGAGTCAACATGACAGCTAACGACTCGATTTGCAATAATGCAAGGCTGCCGTGGCAATGATTCTCGCGGAATAGTAATTGGGCTAAAGCATGCAGTGAACGTAGTGACGTCATAAAAATAAAAAGAAAGCAAATTTGAACTAAGCCTCGCGAGGCTTGAAACAGTAACACCGGACGATTTTAACGGCTGATCTGGTTACTTCTTGGATATTTCTAGGTATCAGCTAGGTGATGTTGTTTTGTTTCGGTGTTCATTCTCAGCGCAGAGAAAATCGAGTCAAACAGGAAGCCGTCACAGACACGACACAGTTGCCCGAGCTCCAGAGATAAGAAACGAGCTGAAACCCAGCATTCGGCGCTCTCACAGATCCATATGGGCCCGTCCTCGTTCGCGGACGCCTTCTATCGCTTCAGCGTTTTTTCGCAGCAACCGTTGACTGTCTCGTTCCCCATTATTGTCATGTTGTACGCAATCAGGTCTTCGGATTCAGCGTCCTAACTTTGCAGCCATTTGCCGCGTTAACGGTTGTTTCCTTAATTTTTATTGGACCAGTAGTGTAGAGTGGTATTTGCTCAAACTGTGTGGCACGCTGTCATTGACGATGATACTTTTTTTTAAGCCCCACAGTGCCACATACACGTTGAGATACTTGTAGTTTTATGCACCACAGTTTTTATATTGTCTCTTGTTTCTCATTCATTTGGTAACTTCAAATTTGTGCGAGGTATCAAGTAGGCATATTACATAAACCTTCTATTTTTTGTCGTATAATTCAAAGAATTTGTTCTCATTACCCTAAATAAGAGTTTATGAAATATTTAAGTGGTGAATTCACAGAGAGCCTTAGAGTATTATGGTGCTGTCATATAAAAACATGCGCCAGGTTTTTTTTCATTATTGGTAAAACTATCGGAAAGATAATGGACCTAGTACATCGAGGCTTAATCTAGAAAAGAGTAGGCTTTATAAGTAGTGTTGCAAAAGTTTTGCTATCATGCCCAGTACAATATGAAGAGAGTGTTTCGATGCCCCGTAGTAAATGCGTGACACTCTGAATAGCTTACTCTGAATAACTCGCCTATTTCCACCAAAGTTATGGATAATAAAGAGTTCCCTCCCTGTAAAGTAGTTGGGGCTCAAAATCATCACAGTTTTTCCTAACACAGATTCCGCAAGTTTGCTTTTTACCACTTGATTAGAGACACCATATACCGCTCTGCCATAGTCGATTACGTATACATTATACTGAACTGTCTACATTATTTTTTGTACACAAGTGTGGATAGTACCATGCTACTTTACTAATGTGCAACGGTAACGACTAAATTTGCCTCAGGAACGAAAAACATACGTATCAATATTTAATGCTTAGTTTAACACAGCAGTATTGAAAATGTGCCCCCTCCCCCCGTACGAGTTTTGCTCGTGTTCATTTCACCTGGGCGTTCCACTGTGGTTTAATTGAGCGAAAAGTTAAGCGTACGTGCACGCATGTTGAGTTTTCACCTATTTCGGGAAGTTAGGGTTTGACAAGATTTTCGACTCTACTACGGCGTCTCTCATAATCATATGGTGGTTTTGGGACGTTAAACCCCACAAATCAATCAATCAAGATTTTTTACTCTAGGCTCGCCTCAAGCACAACCGCATAGGTACACATATTTTTCGCAGAAAGACCAGTGGTTGAGATCTGCCATGTTATCAAATGGCAATTAGAAATGATTTCTGGAGTCTAATAATTACTGAATATTGAAAACGATTCGGGGTGGTTGACGTGCCAAAATTTTGATATGAAAAATAGGCACGCCGTATTCGAAGACACCGGAACAATTTTGTCCACCAAGGTCAAAAATACGAGTGTTCCCGCAATGTGGTCCCTGCGAACGAGAACCAAGCCTACTCTCCTATAGCCTTGCAGAGCAACGTCTACGGCAAAAGTACCGTTGCAGGGGAAAACTATAGTCCAGAAGGACAGCAGATGTTTACAGCAAGGTAAACTTGGTGATGTACATACAATGCTTGTAATGTATTCGTTCTACTTTGTATAAAATTTTTACAAAGGACAAAGACAAAAACATTACTCGCCAGAGCGAGACAGCATAGACATAGCTGCATTCAAGAAAAAAAAATCATGGATCCATTCAAAAGCTTACTCTGGCTCAGCAGCATCAGACGAATATTTGCTGATTGCCTTCTTGTTATCTATGTGAACTGGATCCTGTCGCCTCGTAAGAGACTCCAGATCAGCACCTGCAACATGCAAAAAAATCAGTTGCTTTCCTCTTTAGTCACAGAAACAAAACATGTGGGAGATAATCGTCAAAAGAGGTAAAACTGGAGCTCTGGCCTATCTTTTGTCCAAGAGTAACCATAGTGAAAGACACTTCACACCCATACATGGGCCCGTTTCGTAAACTATTGGAGGTTTAAAATTGGAATGTTTAAGGCAGCACAAGCAATAGGTTATGGTGCCTTGCCTTTTATTGCCTGATGCTCATTGCAAATAGGCTGCGCTGCAATGGTTCAGTCCAACATACTGGTAACTTTGGATGAAAAAAAAAAATTCAACGTGAATATCTTGGGGTATATTTGTTTCATGTACTTGGTCTTGTTTTCAATACTTCCCTAAGTGAGTGTTGTCTAACATGAAAATATTTTATGCTTTTACGCTCTCGTCATAGGAGATTGAGGCTCGTCATTTTCGTCGAGAATCTGCCATGAACAGAGGGGTTTCCCGGGTAGCTCAAGAGAAACTCGTCAAAAAGTTTTAGAAGTGCTTAGTCGTGAAATGGGCCTCTATTGCTATATTATACTGATCTTAAGGGATGTTATGGCTTTTCCTTCAAGTGTGAGTCTGTTTGCAGTGCTATATTATCAGCGCGAGAACACACCAAGCAACTTGGGGTTCTTTAACCGGCACGCAAATCTGAGCACACGGGCCACAGCATTTTCGCCTCCATCGAAAAATCATTCCGCCCCAGCATGGCTTCACTTCGCGACCGGCGCGTCAGCCGCCGAATACCTTAGCCACTAGACCACCGAGGTGGGGTCAAATACGCCAGAAATAATCATAATTTTTCTTTAGTAAACTGGCATTCACTATGCTATCCTTCATCATTCTTCAGGGAAGCGTAGTATCCGCTACACACTTGCTAGGAATATTGTGCAATATTTCAGGCAGTAGCTGGCGACGTTGAATGATTATGCCGGAAGTGAGTATGTGCCCAGTTAATAGGTGAGCAAGAACAAGCTATTGTATTGGGTAGGACCATTGGATAACCCACTCATTACGCAATTCGCATTGTGTGACGCCTACCTGTTTCTTTGATGTCGTAAAACGCTTTTCTATTTATTTATCATAGTACCCACAGCACTAAAGGGCATTACAGTGGGGGACTCAAGTTATTACTCATGTTAGCGCGATACCTTTGTGGTCATCAAGCCTGCCTAAGGCTAGTTCTGAAACAAGTTTCAACTGCCGGCGTGGCTCAGTGGTGGAATACTGGGCTGTGACTCAGCGGTTCCGGGTTCGAATCCAAATCTCATTGTGAGCTTAATGTTTTCATTCACTGAGTTTCTTATTTCTTGCGATATCGGATACGGACACCGGTGTCGGCAGTGGAAAACTACGGCGTGGCACGTGACCTGTGTTTCGATCTCATAACAGCTCTCATAACAGTTTTCGCTGTAAAAAGAAATGGCTGTATCATGTATGCAGTGATATAATATGTAAACTTTCCGATCCTTTATGCTGATATGCTTAATACAGAAATTATGCTAGCAATGTCACAAGTATCATAACATGTGTTCGTGTATGAGATATGCGTCTGCTTGTACCTGATTACCACATGTTAGGCGCACAAATTCCCTTCTCTTCTTTCGAGATGGCATACTCGTACTTTGTTATAACAGCAGGAGCTTGGAGCACGCTGCTCTTATGTCCAATATAAAACCTTAAGTAGCCCTAGAACAGGATTAAGTTATCTTACGGAAAAATTGAGGGCCGACTGGTCATCGTAGTACCCGCTGCGGCTCTCGCGAAAGCCAGCAAACATAGAGTATAGCTCCTCAACATGATGACCTAACCTTAGTCTAACTTTACAAATTACTCGTCATGCTCACATACTGAAGAACTTGTTATGATCTGCCTGTGTGGCTCTTATACCGCTTAAGATGAGGTACGCAACTCAGTTATTCACTGTATACCACTTACGTTCAACGTCCTTCAAATGAGACTTCGTAGAAGTATGCATCTGGTCTACCACAGCCATGACAATGGGTGCCATGATGGACGTTGATGCAGTGTTCGGAATCCACATGGATAGTGACATGGTGACTAGCATAAAACCAAGTAGAAGCCTGAAAATGCATATACGAGAAAGGTAAATAGATTGTGTCAGCGAGCGAATACAATGCCGCATGTATTTGTACAGGGTCGTTATAGTCATATTTTCTTCAATAAAAGAAATGTACACAACGATGTAATAGCTCTTACTCTTTAATTTAATCGAAGTAGTGTGACATGTGTCCAGTAAATTGTAAGATATTTTTACGCTAGCAATTTGAGATATGTTTACGTAAAGGAGTTGCTTTTCGCCCATTATCATCACAGTTAGCCAGCCCTCTTTCTGGAGCATTCGTACCTGAGATTACTTGTTCCAATGGCGAGTAAGGACCGCAGGGCTATTCTTTTGTGCAGGTTGCTTATTTCAACGGCCCCGGCCATGACCAGAGAGCACAGCAGGACAAGCCCGATCTCCTGCACCACGTATACGATTGCCTCATATATATATATATATATATATATATATATATATATATATATATATATATATATATATATATATATATATATATATATATATATATATATATATATATATATAGGTATGGGATATGGCACAACGGGAGCGTTGTCAACAAGGATAAATATATTTATTTCCCAACAGTTTGGGAGGGGTCCTCCCTTCATCAGGGGAGGAGTTATATATATATATATATATATATATATATATATATATATATATATATATATATATATATATATATATATATATATATATATATATATATATATAATCAGCAGCAGTAGTCCAATCTACCACGCTTGCAGCATCGCACAGCAAAAAAAAGAAAAAAAAATAGAAAGAACAGCAGAGAACAGCAAGGAAATAATCACTAAACAAATCGGATAATCACAATAAATACACAGAAAACTATAGAAAGTCAAATAAACAGCCAAATAGAATGGAAAAGAACATATAGGAACGAGATACACTCAAGCAAAGAACAAGCGAATCAATGGCGGAAGTTTGTACATCTTCACTTGGCATGGAACTGGCTTCGCTTTTGATTTCGTTTTATTCAGAAGTAAGACGCTGGAGAAAAGCACCGCAATAAAGCACGGTTATATAAAAAACACAGACTGTTTATCTCCAGTCTAAACAACTAAATATACCAGTCAGCTACTTTCATGACACGATGAGTAAGAAAGTACAAGATGACAAGTATGCTTGTTATTATTCTCACGCCACTCACGTTGAGGTAAAACGTGGCCACTTTACTGGATGGCACGATCCCGAAGAGCGGGAACAGGAACACCGGCATGAGTGAAGTGGCCGCCAGAGGCACGACTTCCGCCGACCAGTAAAAGGCCATCCAGAGCAGAATGTAGGCGCACCAGCCGGCCTGAGTATGAAAGTACATGGGCATTCCCAAGATTTAGGGACATTTGTGCGTGGCACCATCTCTCGGCGGTAGCAACGGCGTCGTGCCATAACTGAATGAGAAATTGGAGAAAAAAATCATATCTTTAGAAATAAGACATTATCAAAGGTGATTTCTGCATCTATACAGCAAAAAACTATATACTGGAACATTTTGTTGAAATTTCAGCGTCGCACTAGAAAACGTGTGGCTTCCCAAGACACATGAACACCACCCGTTGAAAAGACGTGGGCTTCATTGTTAAATAATAAACACCCTGGGAAGCCACGCAGCTTGTAGTGCAAGACTGTAACTTCGCCAGAATGTTTAATAAGGTCTCTGCTGTACAGAACCTTGAGTCGTTTTAGATAACTGGATTTTTTCAATAGATATAATTTTTTTGTCTATTTCCCATTAAGTTACGGCAGCCCACCACTGTCACCGATAAAACATGGTGCTATGTGCAAATGTCCTGAAATTCTGCTCATAAGAACTTTTATTATTTATGCAACTTCTTTTTCATGCTCACGGGATAATGGATCGCAAGTACAGACGAGTTCACAGTTAAAGTGAACACTTTCGTGTACACCCTCACCGGATTTTTCTCTCTGGCATGCGCATAGTCACTTACTTGCATAAGACTACTGCTGGTGGACTGTTTTGACTCCTTTTGATAGACTATAGGGTCTTTCACGGACAATGTTTCTTTGTCTGCTTGCATTTATGAGTCTCGACATATGACAGGTGCTCATCAGAGTGTCCCCCTTAACAGTAAAAAGCACACACACACGCGTGAACCAGACTTCCGGAGTAGAACTTAATGACACAAGCACATAGTGACACTTAATTTGTTCAACCATTTCAAGTTCCTGTTATTCGAATGTGATACGTGATACTCTATACGTAACTACGGGATACTTCGTATATAGCCTCCGAGATTGGTTTCGGCCGAACGCAAAACTCAAATTAAGAAAAGGAACACAACAAAGGCAAAAGAGCGTCGACATGCGAGAGCCGTACAGGTAAATCAAATATTAGTACAACCTTCATATTTTCTCACGAGATTTATTAAACTCAAACTAAGAAAATTCTCGGCTCATTACGAAATTGACACGGCCATCGCTTTTACAGAAACACTGCGGACATGGCGCTTCATTAAGGAAGCCTAAAGCACACGACATAGTTGACTAGCAGGTAAGTTGTCGTACAGTCGCAGACACTGAAGAACGCAGTTTTCATTACGGGTCATGGTGGATGCATTTAGGCGGGAGTGAAATGCAAGAAGATCGGTATATTTAGATTTGGAGCGTAACAAAGAAACAATGCCACCTAAAACTGGCTGCTTACTAATATAAGTAAACGCAATGCAATATATTTCAGCTTGTTTCATGCTAAAAGCGTTAAAAACGGCACTTACAATTATTAATAACTTTTAAGTTTTTTCGTGCGGCTATAGGAGAGTGCTAGAGCGTTTCTGCACTGTATACTATAGGAATAAAAACGTGACCGTCGTGGTTGGCATCCAACTCTTGACCATCAGCTCAACGTTGTAGCGACTACGCTTAACCAGTGAGTCCTTAGCGTGCTCTAGTAGCAGCATCCGGATTCTTGCGTATTTTACACATTCATGGCACATTATCTTTTTTAGCAGTCGTTTTCCTTTCGAGTTACTTTTAGGGGTGAAACAGGGACAAGGCTGGTCAGTCTTTCCTGTCGTCATGGTGTGTCATGCAGGCACGGTTCGTCAGCCAAACCGGTTTGCATCACGATGAATAAATTACAGCACTCGCAGTCTGCCCCCTAAAAATGAAGAAGAACGCAATTCAGCCCAAGCAAGGCACCATCCGATTCATAGACTATCCTCCGGAGTGGGTAGTGCCAAGATGTTGAGGAACCAAAAAAATTGGAAAGAATGTTTTAAGGGGCGTTTCTAAGGAATGTGAACAGAAAACAAAAGTGATTCATTGGTTGGTTGATTGATTGATTGATTGATTGATTGATTGATTGATTGATTGATTGATTGATTGAACCAACCGACTAACCCACCGTGAGATAGCTGACGATGTCAGTAGAGCAGACATGCCCAGGTAACTGAAACCGAGCCTTTAGGAAATAAGGAGAAGAAGCAGACTAAGATTATAAGAAAGAAGGAGACGGTGAAAGTGGTGATTAGGAAAAGAAGTCCCTTGGGAAGCGTTGCATTTTAACGCAGCTTTTCGACAACGTCAGTAGAGCTTAAACACACTTTCCGACATGCCCAGTTTCTGGCTCAGCACCAGTAGTGAGAGAAATCTCTTTCAAACCAGTCCATGCTTCGCCCTTCCGTAGGTTTCATGCTAATCGGAATGGCATACGACCCTTATGGAGAACGTATCAACTGAAATATTCTGCACAACGACGCTCTATATTTCGGAACCACTTCAACTTGGCATATTTGACGCACTAGCGCTATAAGTCGACTTCATTTTTGCATAATCAGAGAAAGAGCGCTACCTCTTCATTTTGTTTCAAAACAGAATGCGGCTTCTTCTCTTGGGATGTCAACAGGGGGAATGCATCGCGTCTTTACTCAAGTTTGAAGCAGAAGCGTTAACCCTGTCACCATTGTATATCGGAAATGTTCTGTCAGCCAAGGGGCCCACGCGCTCCTTATTGTGGAAGAACTGTCTAGACAACTGGAGATTTGGTGGCCAAGTGAAAGGGAAGTCAGCCACTCTAAGGGGTGCTTTTCGAGGCTTTAAGGCTTATCTCACGTCTGGTTGATAAGGATTGTGTACCTGTGGTTGAAGAGTACAACTTGAGCATAAGCTAAAAAAGGCACTTCTGGCAATACGTGAAAAGACTCTTGGAGAACATGTTGGGCAAGCTGTAACTCTCTCTTGACTTTTTATGCATATTCGCTTGACAATTCGTGAAGCGTACAAACTATTGCATTTACTTAGGCAACTTTCTTTAATTCATCGCACTCATCAATGAATGCCATCGTTCAAGGCGATAGTCTAGAAAACGGATAACAGTCGAGGAAGACCGCAGGGCTGAGATACTGCGGAAGTGAGGCAGCGAAACAAGCGTCATTCATACAGAGATGCTTCACCAGCTTTCAGCTTATCAAAATATTTCGTGAGGCTGCTCATGGCGGCCGCTGCATATAATCCTTTCATGCCAGTGTGGCGGTTGAGTGCTGTTATTATATTCAAAATTATCATCATATTGAGCTGACCACATTAAATAATAAAGGTTCAAAGAATTTTGTAACATTCCACACAGACTGCTGTAGCGGTATTGTGAATTTTTATAATCTGATTTCCTCATCGGAGCATCGAACACTGCATTTATTAGAAGTACATATCATTATTAGCTGCTTGTCTTTGGCAGTAATATATCCAGCATGAAGGCTAACTGAGAATTTACATTATAATTAATTCTAACGTAACTTTCTTAATTGTAAGTGACGATGTTTTCGACCACCCTCAAAAAAAAAAAAAACTTTTTTACGCTCGAATTAACTTGAAGAGGATAAAATCAGGGTACATTGATGCTACGTATATTCGCAAAAGCGAGTGACAAATATGAATAAAAGCAGTCATCAAATAAAAACTTTCTGAATTCAGCCTCTTGAATATTGTAAAGCTTTTCGTGTTTACGGTTGCTTTTATTTTTATTTTTTTAGGCTTAGTACTATACAATGCATAGTTATACGGCTGCGCCCCGCCACGGTGTTCTAGTGGCTAAGGTACTCGGCTGCTGACCCGCAAGTCGCGGGATCAAATCCCGGCTGTGGCGGCTGCATTTCTGATGGAGGCGGAAATGTTGCAGGCCCGTGTACTCAGATTTGGGTGCACGTTAAAGAACCCCAGGTGGTCAAAAAATTTCCGGAGCCCTCCACTACGGCGTCTCTCATAATCATATGGTTGTTTTGGGACGTTAAACCCCACAAATCAATCAATGTTATACGGCTGCCTGTTTCAGTTCTTCGACCTAGAGGTTTTCGCTACAGATATCTAAGTAGTGCTTTATTCACTGCGCCAAGTGCGGTGTAAGAGGTCTCCCTGCGTCAGCCATTCCAACTGACTTACTTCACCTATCAGCTCACTACATCGTGAAAAAAGACACTCGAATTTATCAAGTGTTTGCGAAAAGCCGACATGTCTTCACTGCCCTCCAATATCGAGTGACGCGATCACATACTGGAGCACCCTAAAGGTTTAGAGTGGTTCAAATTATGTCTGTTTGGGTGTATCGGTATTTCATTTTATTATATAACAATCTCCCTAGACTTCTTATCTCATACAATAGAGCAGGCTATCATTTCCAGAATTTATCGTTGTCAAAATTAAAAGTGTTAATGCACTGTCCTCTTTAGAGTGCTTTCAGGAAGTTACTAATGTGTGATATGTTTATTTTATTTTTGTGCATATGTAATACATATTGATATTGTTCCCGCTTTTGTCTTAGTAATGTAATTAACTTTAGAAATGTTTATTTTGTTCTTGCTTCTTTTTTGTCAATTCATTGTTAAAGTGTCCTACCTTATAGTCACAGAATTAGTTTATTATACAATGTTTATTATGGGCCTTACCATATGCAGCCATACTGCACTAAGAGGCTGAGGTTTCCTCAACCCGTGTTTGTGTAGCTTTTCTCCCTCACCCATCTCCATTTACCACTATGTTGAACATGTGTGTAAATGAAAAAAACAATAAATCAAATCAAATCGAGCTTACAATGCGAAACGAAGGCACAGCTAAAGACGGGCACCTGTCTTTGTCCGTCCTCACTTTTTCCTGGTCTTGCATTGTGTGCTAGCTACTCAAGTGCCATATTTTCTTAAGGAGCCACTGGAAGCTGTGTCTACAGCGCGTACACAGTCATCATTGTCTGACTTTCAATAAATGTTCTTGCTGGGAGAATTCATAAATACTTGAAAACCATATTGTCATGCGCTGTTTGTGCACAAGGGCCCAATAAAAAAGAACAAGTGCTTCTTTGTGTTCTCTATTGAGTTCTTGTGCGTACAAGTTAAGCATGTCAAGTTACCTTTCAAATTGCTGGTTACTTTTACACAAATTAAGAGTTTTTGAGATAAATGTGACGACAAGAGTGCTGAACGACAGACGTGAGCAGCAAGGCTGCGCATTAAGTACTGCAATCTCTCAGGTGCTAAATAATTAACGCAGTTCTACGTCATAACGCAGCTCGACACCCTAGCACGAAGCGCTGGCAATTTACTCTAATGGAAGGAGCAATTAACGATATCAACGGCCCTTTCATATAGATTTCTCAATACACAGAGTATAGACGCAGCGTAGGCACAGCGGTTGCATCCAGGAGGCACGCTTGTACAGAAGTTAATGAGGACAAAGGGAATAAAGAGTGATAACCTGGGACATCTGCCCAACGAAAGAAGCCTACGGACCACCCTTGGCACGATAAAGTGCAAGGTTGTTCAGCTACATCTTGGCGTATGCCTTATATGGCATGTCGTAAAAGGAGGCTTAGTGACTCGGAGATCCAGTGTCTTGCGACGCACTTGCGGCAGGGGGAGTGGAGAACGAGATGAGCGCGTGTACTGGAGACGCAAGCATTTCGTTTGCGCCATAACGGTCTTTGAGAGGCGCGAGTGATTTAACAATAATGACCTGTGCGGTTTACCTCGACACGTGGCTGGCGAATTCGTAACTCTTCCCCGCCACAGACATATAGCAGACAACGCCGCATATATGGCGGACACACTTAGCGAAAGAGAGAGTCTTCTTAACGTGACACAGATTTTCTCGGATGACCTATACTATTAGCTGGTGATTCGAAGCATGCCTTGGTACCAAGAGGAGACCGATTTCGTTATAGTCCTAAATTGAGGAAGACGCGGATATTAATGGTAAGGAAGTATATGTGTAACTTTAAGGAACAACGAGAGAGCAGAATGGGCCAGCATAAAAGACGTTGCTAAGGATATCTTAGTCGAAATCAAAAAGTTAGCGGTTATAAAGTGGCTTAATCGAATCCAATGCATGGTTGATTCGCAGAAGATGGGAGAGACCTTTGACCAGCCGTGGGTGTAGTCAGGATGAGCATGATTATGCTATTGATGATGATATGGAGTTTAGAGTCAGAGGTCTCATATAATGTATGCCCTCAAACCATTCAGCTGTCATCAACTATGAAACACTCACTGACTATGTACACCTGATATGCGTGTGCACAGAGTGACCATGGTCACCTGATTGCGTTATCAAATCTAAGTCACTCTGCTCTTACAAAACGCGTTGAAATAAACTTCTGAGCTTTCATTCCCGTGATCGGGGGTCAGATAACTGGTCAGTTTGTCTTCGCACACGCAGCCTGATCTGGGAAAGGGGATGAAAATCAGGCCAATTAATGAGAGTATGCATTCAGCAGTTGCGCGTTTCTGAAGGTGAACAGAGCTACATAATCATTCACACATAGCTTTTTTTTCCGAATATACGCTATTTCATGGAAATTTTTGTTGCCAATGTGGGGCTAGCTAAATGCAGAAAGTGAGTGTAGGCCTGCAGCCGGATAGTCGCGATAGATACATCTTACCTCACGTGTACACCCCAAAAGGCACTTTTTCTTGACTAAGAGGTAAGCAGGTGAAAACAGCTAGGTTTTGCGTGTATGACTGATCCATTATTGCGAAGGCGTTTATTGCGAAAACGCTTTGCTATACGTTATGAGCACTTAAAGCAGCCCATAGCTGCCATTAAGAGATAAATACTTCAAGATTACCTATACACTTTTCGGTATTGAATACTGGTGCGTCGAAAAGATTTCTTCAACTTGTCCGCGAAGGTCCTTAGCCTGTAGGCGGATTTTAACTTCCCTGCCTTCCGTCTCCATTTTTCTCTCTCTTTCTCTCGAGGGGAGTCCAGATGTCTGATTTTTCTTCTCTCACCCATTTTCTTAATTTATACGCCAAAACCAAAATCTATCACGTACTCCTATGTTTTGAACCAGCTGTTCCCATAAGAAACTAACGCCATGCCCCACTTTTTGGGGAGATCGTACTTGATTAGCGAATCCTATGCCCCTCCTTTTCTATTGATGAAGAAGTAATGCCGAGGCTTCCATGTGCCTACGAGACATCATAATGACTCTTTGACGAATATATTTTGAAATGCTTTCACGAACACGCTCGAGAGAAAGAAGTTGAGACCAGGAGGGCCTATGAGCGGGCTAGCCAAATGTAGCATATTGTCCGTGGATGAAAAGTCACAAGGAAGAAAGACAACATAACAGCAAACAGAGTTAACAGCAAGCCGTAACTATACTAAGTTCTGTCTTGTGTCGTATCAAATTGCCCAAACAGTGTGAGGAAGCCTGCTGCCTAATTGGTCATCGAGCAAAGATAGTTTTAAATGTGAAGCATTTCTTAGCGAACTTCAGCGAATTTGAGCCTATCTATCTATCTAGCCGCCTACGACTTTTAGCTCTCCAGGTCGTTTTGATAATGGTATCAATACCGAATTTGGTAAGGCAAAACATGACTGTATGAAGAACTTATTTGTCTGTTCATAACATGAAAATCATGACATGCATGTCATAAATGTCATTATTTACATTTCATGGTCCTGCAGCTCTTGCGGTAGATTTGTTCACATGGCATGTTTCAAAACTGGTATGGCATGACTTGATTGCATGGTGAACACAAGCGACAGAAACTAACATGAAAATCATGTCATGCGTGTCATGTAACAACTACATGCCACGCTCATGATGCGCTCGTGGCTGTTTCGCTGGCGTCACATATACCGAATTTGGTATTACAGTACGTGAATCGATGACGAAGGTATGTGACTGGTGCAAACATGATAGTCATGAGATCCGTGTCATGTAACTACATGACTACATGCTACGCTCATGATGCGCTGGTGGCCGTTTTGCTAGATTCACTTATACCAAATTTTGTATTACGGGACGCGAATGTATGACGAATGTATGATACTGGTGCACACATGATAAACACGAGATGCGTGTCATGTAAAAACATGACTACATGTTACGCTCATGATGCCCTCGTGGCCATTTCGCTAGTCGCACGTGTACCAAACTCGGTATTACGCGACGCAAACAGACAACATAGGTGAATGCCACAACCAGACATGATAATCACGCCATGCGTGTCATGTAACAGCATGCATGGCTACATGCCCCACTGATGCCGCGCTCGCGGCCGTTTCGCTGGATGTACATGCATATGCCAAATTTGGCATTACGTGACGTCACTGGATGACTGAATGTATGTGACTGGTTGAAACCTGACAATCATGAGATGCGTGTCACTGTGAGAACATGACTACATGCCACAGTCAAGGCGCCAATACATTTCGACGTGACGCGGTGTGCATGCTCGCCCGCGTTCATTTTGTCGCTTCACGCCGGCCTTGCCACGCCAAGCGCAGGTCCTGCCATATACTCACAGGTGCGTGCCGCACTGCGTTGCTTTGACGCATGCGCGTTTCAGCGTGCCGGCGTCCCTCCGTCACGAAAAGAGGGAGACGCAGTGCTTGGCCTCTGGGTAACGCACCGGCGCGAAATGCAGCACGTCGCATATCGCGTCAGTTGCCGTCGGGCCGCGCCGACGGACGCTGGTCGCGCCTGTCCTCAATCTATAGAGTGCTCGCGTTTTGCTAACGTAGCGTCTCTGTAGCCAGCGTGCGCGCGCGTCAACACTACATAGGAGTATATTGGGCCCTTCATGATGCGCTCGTGGCCGTTTTACTAGCTTCACATATACCGAATACGCTGTTACGTGACGTCAATGAATGACAAAATATATGCTCATAGCGTGCTCGCGGCTGTTTTGCTAGCTCCACACATACCAATTTTGGTATCACGTGACGTGATTAGATGACGAAGATAAACGACACATTCAAACATGATAATCATGACACGGAAGACATGTACGGCATCATTTACCTTCAGCTCATAACGTCGTGCTGATTTTTAAAGAGACATATCAACATTTTTCATTCGTGCATCGCATATAATTGATTCCCATGGTACGTAGAATCTGCCAATTTTTTTTTACAGATACACACCTCTCTAGGACGCGCATACAGTTGGACGAACACAAGGAAAAAGTGATATGAAGAAAAAGAGGGCTACGAGTGATCAGCCGTGGTCTTGTGGTTTTCTTATAGGAGAAACTATAGGAAACCTATAGAACCTATAGAAACAGAGACAACAGAGACGTTTTTTCTAACGCTTACAAGAAGTCAAAGAAAACGTGTAGTAGTTGAATACGCAACTATTTGAGAGCACAAGTGGCACGTACCTTTCCTCCGATGCATGCTGCCACTGGAAGAAGGATAAGCGGAACACATACGATGTACAGGAGACGCCAGAACTCCTTGAGCGCACCGAACGCGGCCCGCATCTTTTGGCCGGCCCTGGCTGAAACGGAAACGATCAAGTCAAGAGAAATATCTCTAAAGGGGTTCACCACTTCCTGAACAACAGCACCTCAAATCGAAGGACTCCTCCTTCAGAGATTCTCAAATACTTTTCAGAAACCTTAGCGCTGTGCCATCCTCTGGCAGGGGTTCCCGAAAATAATGACACATGCAACATCTTGAAGCTAAAGCTGTATTCTCAAAACGTAAACATTTGCAATGTTATTTCGGCACGAGAATATGTATGTATGTATGTATGTATGTATGTATGTATGTATGTATGTATGTATGTATGTATGTATGTATGTATGTATGTATGTATGTATGTATGTATGTATGTATGTATGTATGTATGTATGTATGTATGTATGTATGTATGTATGTATGTATGTATGTATGTATGTATGTATGTATGTATGTCGACAGGAATACTGACATCCACGTTGCTAACAAATTGCCATCGTCGGTGATTGTCTGCTTTGTCTACGGTTGTCCACAAATATAAAGCGATTCTTGTAAATTATAAAGGTGTCTGGAAAATTGGACTACCAGAGAAGTGAACTACCAGAGAATTGGACCACCATAGAAGAGAACCGACAAAGGACTGTGCACTTTGTTGGTTCATACTTTATTTATGGTGAGAGCCTTCTATGCCAAATCAAACGCGAAAACGTATCGTCGGCGTCAACGTGCCTGCAGATTGATTAATAATATCAAATAAAGAAAACAAAGCAACCCGGATTTTATAGTTCGTACGGAATCTTCAACCACGCATTTCTGTTGCACCGACCGTAATTTTGAGAACAAAACAGGCTATCCAACTTCCGACCTGGCAGCGTGAATCTTTCCTCTTACCTTTGCGACTGCAGCGGCTACTACTTCTGCCACGAGTCTGACAGCACGGCTTTTCTTTTTCGTCAAAGTTTCTACACGTGACCGAGAGTCGGAGCGTCTCGACGCGCTGTGACGACTGCTCCAGATAACGGAGGCAACACTTCTTATCGCCAGGTAAAGTGTTCGCCTTCGCAGACACCAATAAGGGTCTGTAAACACACAAACTGCACGCGCACGCATTACCGCCATCACTTGAGGTGGGTCTGCCATGGAGCATGCGTCCAGAAGGAGAAAAAGGGTAAGATAAGCGGGTAAGAAAAAAGATGCAGACTGCAGGTTATCGCGACTGCTTCACATTGAAAAGCATATCCCTCTCTCTGCACCAATTTTGGTTCGTAATTCGTCCTTCTTACGCAGTGTCCTTCGCCTTTGTTCTCTTACCTCATCTGGACATAAGTATGCGCAACGTTTCTTCATCTGACTAATGTGGCCTTGCCCCGCCGCGGTGGTAGTGGCTAAGGTACTCGGCTGCTGACCCGCAGGGCGCGGGTTCGAATCCCGGCTGCGTCGGCTACATTTCCGATGGAGGCGGAAATGTTGTAGGCCTGTGTGCTCAGATTTGGGTGCACGTTAAAGAACCCCAGGTGGTCTAAATTTCCGGAGCCCTCCACTGCGGCGTCTCTCATAATCATATAGTGGTTTTGGGACGTTAAACCTCACATATCAATCGAATGTGGCCTTAAAGTCCAAGCGAATCAGGGGACGAGAGCGTCATGACACGTGGATTTATAGCTTCCTAAAACACAGCTATCTAACGCATTAAATGTGCAGAGTATGGCTACGGTTGAAAAATTACTGCAGACAGAATGTGTTGCCTTTTTTTTCCTTTCTCGTGTTATCAGTTCACAACTGCAAGGCACTACATCCAGGATTAAAAGGGCAAATCTTCGCGGGAATAGATAAAAAGATGGAGTATCTCAGTGAATGGAAGAACTAAAAGCTATCAGACGTTGACAGAATTCCTCAGGCTACCCCGCAAAGCTCAGTACGAGTGTCATGACCTTGAATATTTAGAATAACATACTTAAAAGGCCCTGCGACACTTCTCCGAGTAAACATTCAACGACCTTATTTGCCTTACAATCAGAGTTCATCACCTCACGAATCAAATGTCGAAAAAATTTTTTTACACCATCTCGTACGAGTAATGTGAAGTAACCTCCCTGCCTTTCCTTGTATCTTTATCTCTCTCTCTCTCTACTGGGATTTGTGCACACTTTATGAACCTTTCCCGCCCTCTTTACCGTCCGTCTCAACCAACGAGTGCCCTGAAAGCTACACAAGGGTCAGGGTAACTGGGGGGGGGGGGGGGAGAGTAGACAAAGGAGCAAGAAGACCTTGAGCCTTTTTTTTTTCTCGATCCGTTGACTCACTGACTGACGTTTCGACTCACAAAGGCTGGTGCACCAGCCGAAACGTCCGTCAGCAACTATACCATGGACCATGCAAAACTAACGTGCGTCATACTCTTATGTTTTTTCATTTCATGTCTCTCTCTCACTCTCTCAATATATATATATATATATATATATATATCTGTTGGGAAGAAGACGCACGTACGAAGTGATTTTATTGACGTTTCGGCCGCGGGTCCGGCCTTCATCAGAATACAGTTTATGGCACGAGTGCTGTTTATATACATGTGCATATCAAAAGATACAAATATGAAAACCAGCATGAAAGGCCATAAATGGGCATACATATATATATATATATATATATATATATATATATATATATATATATATATATATATATATATATATATATATATATATATATATATATATATATATATATATATATATATATATATGCAAGTCACACAATTTGAAGGGCACCTGATACACGAGTAAAAAGATATCGTTTCCATGCGCGAGCACGTGGCGAGCACGTTGTTTACAAATAAAAGATAAAACGCCTAAAAGATAAAGCACATAACATGAAGAGTAGTCTGACCAGTAATAGCAAGGGGAAACAGAAGAAAAAATAATAAAGTAATCACAAAAAATCACAAAGACGTTACAAAGCTGCTACGTAATCAACCGATACAGACAATGTAGTGCGACTTGCTGAGCAAGGTTGAAAAAAGATGGACAGGGTGATACAGGTTACGCAGATAGGCTACTACGTTTACCTACGTTTTCATTTAGACCGGATGCGACGGCGTCGAACTTATAGATGAGGAATGATTCACGGGCTTCTCTATCATAATTTGTGCGGAAACCAGATTCTAGTAATGTGACCTGTAGATTTTCAAAAGAGTGGTCAGGGAGGTGCACGTGTCTTGAAATAAGCAAGTGGGACAAGGTGTTAGCATAAGATTCGTGGTTGTTAAAACGCAGTCTAAAAGGCCCTTCTGTTTGACCAATGTACTGTATTTCACATCGCGCACATTCTATCATGTATATCACGTTCTTAGAATCGCAGTCAAGATTGCCTTTGATTTTTAAGAAAAAGTTGGAACCAGTGCTGGTAACTTGTTGGCATGTGCGCATGTACTGGCATACTTTGCATTGCGGTTTTTGGCAAGGATGGCACCCGATCGTGTCAGGACTGTCTGCTTTCGACGATGATGACGATGAGAGTATGTCTCAAATAGTTTTAGCTTTGCGATACATTGCTTTAGGTGGTTCGGTGAAAATGGTTCTTAAGCGTTCACTTTGCATTAGAATATTGTGGTGCTTTCTCAGCACATTCGAAACACGCGGAACTGATGCAGAATGGGTAAGGACTAAATTTGTCTGCGGTGAGGGAGTCGAGTTTTTAGCAGCGCACAACAGCGTTCTACGATTATGCATGTCGGCACGTTTTATTGCGTCATCAATTAATTGCGGCGGATATTTTTGTTTGACTAGAGCATCCTTTAGTGTTCTGCAATTTTTTTGAAACTCTAATTGCTCTGAGCAGATTCTTTCAAAGCGTAAGGCCTGACTGTAAGAAATGCTAGTTTTGCAATGTTTCACGTGGCTACTGTCAAAGTGCAAATACTTTTGCCGGTCTGTAGGCTTCCTGTATAGAGCAGTGGATAGCTTATCATTTACAACCGATGTGCTTACATCAAGAAAACTAAGCGTTGATGTGGAATAGGTGTGAGAAAATGATACTGATGGATAGGCATCATTAAAGTCAGGTATGAAGGAAAGCAACTCCTGTTCACCATGCGGCCAAATAAGGAAAATGTCATCGATGTTACGTTTATAATAAAAAGGTTTCAGCCCGCGTGTTTGCAAAAATTCACTTTCAAGCTGGCCCATGAGTATATTGGCGTAGTTGGGTCCAATACGCGTACCCAATGATGTGCCGCCAACTTGAACATAGTGTTGCCCTTCAAATGGAAAGTTATTTAGCTCTAAAATGAGTCTGAACAATACTGTTAATGTATTGCTGTCGATAAATTTAGGCAGGGATGCTGCTTCGTAGGACCTGGCGACTACCGCTATCGCATCTACATGCGGAATGTTGGTGTATAAAGACGCTACGTCTAGCGTGACCTAAAAGGAACCTTGAGGAATAATCAGATCAATTATACCAGAAACAAAGTCGGTAGTGTCCCTTACGTAAGACGGAAGTGATTCTGGGATACTACAGTTCAGAGAATCGACATAGCTGAGCAATTTTTCTGTGATAGTACCTATACCTGAAATAATGGGACGGCCGGGGTTGTGTATCTTGTGTAAGAGGTAGAAACGACCGGGAACAAGACTTAGGGGAATAAGAGAATGAATCACATTGTCAGGCACCTTTTTATTTTCCAGAGGCTCTAGCAAAGTGCTCCGGACAAGAGATTTAAATTGTTCAGTGGGGTCGTGATCCAGACGCTTGTAAAAACTCGTGTCTGCGAGCTGTATTTTGGCCTCTGCTTCGTAATGAGACTTGTTCATTACGACAACAGCCCCACCTTTGTCCGCAGGCTTGATGACGATGTCGTTGCGACAGGACAAGGCATTTAGTGCTTTCATTTCACTGGTGGATAGGTTACGGCTAAACGGCATTTGCTTTCGATACGACTGTAGTACGTCTCGTTGTACAGCTTTGATATACATTACTAAGCATCTGTCTCGTTGTGAGGGAGGTACCCAACGTTTTCCAGAAGGTAATGCGCTT